GCTTCAACAGATAATAAAACACATCAAATACACACAAAGAAATACCATATCTAAAAAAGTTATATTTTATCATTTATCCTGATAAAATATTAAAATATTTGCCTGTAAAGATAAAAGTTACTGAATTTTACTAAATAATTTTCCTTTCACTAAAAAAGAACTCATGTTTTTAAACTAATATGTTTCTTTGATGTGCTTCCTAACCTACTTTTCTTGAGTTTTGCCCTTTTTTGATTTTGTGTTTGTGTGTGTGTGTGCGTGTGTGTGTGCGTGTGTGCGTGTGTGTGTGCGTGCGTGCGTGCGTGCACGCGCGCGCCGCGGGCTCTTTACTTGATCTGTTGTTTGCGCAACACACAATCACATTTCTTTTAAGCGACAGGGTGTCTAGACGCACACGTGACCGGGCGCGTCAATGCGCACTGGAGACTGGAGACGGGGAGGAAGGGCACCCAAACCATCCGCCTCATTTACAGACAGAGAGAGAGAGAGAAAGAGAGAGAGAGAAAACCCTTTACCCCCCCTCCACCTCCATTTTTCTGCCACACTCAGCCACGGAAACTTCGTGCGAGCTCACCGAAAGGAAGGCTGGATAGAAGGGAACTCGTTTGCTGAATTAAAAAACAAAAACATTACAGCTTGTTTGGCGCGTGGACGAGAGGGGTCTCTCTCGCTTCCTGCGCGTCTTTTAACTCCCCCCACAAGTCGAGGGACTCAGACGTGGATTTGCTTCCCCGGGACGAGGCTCTCTCCCTCTCTCTCTCTCTCACCCCCCGGCCAGTGAGAAAGCATCCTCAGCAGAGGGACTGGCGGATAAAGACGGAACGACAGCGATCCTCGGTCGAGCCGGGTCGGAGAAGGATTTTGTGGATTAATGCTCACGAACACGCAGCGGCTTCGAGCTCCGGTTTTCACGGGATAATTGCCGCCAGAGTTGAGGCTTAATTAGGCCCCAGTTTTTTGTGTCATGTCCACAGCAGCTCGTGCACGGCTGATGGGGAGATTTCCGACACTGGTTATTCACTGAAAACCTGCACGGAGACTGGTCTAATCTGCATGCAGCAGCCCTTTTTTCTGTTGGGAAGATTTTCTCAGCTGCCTGAGGGTGGAATGGTGATCCATCCCCTGAGGGAAAAGCTGACTGTCCCCTGACTTTTTATTTATTTATTTTTTTTTAAAGATCCTGTCTGCAGAAGAAACCCCCACCACGGAGACTGGCGCATGCTACAGATTTCCTCTGCTTCTCCAGCTCCCAGCTTTTCCACCGTCTTCTCTCCGGCTGCTTGTCGCTGCCTGGACTCGGATCCCGGAATCTTCATGATTTGCGGACACCATGCTCGTTCTTTAGCCGGGAAACCCTCTTTTCGTCCCGCATGTTTAGGACCAAACGATCGGGGCTCGTCCGGCGACTCTGGAGGAGCCGCGCGCCCGTGGAGGGCGACGGGGAGGCGGACAGAGGAGGAGGAGGAGGAGGCGGAGGGACGCGTCACGATCATGGCTCCGGGGCCGGCTGCTGCATGGGCAAAGCGACAGGCAAGGTGGCCAAGTCCGGCGCCGGCACCGAGGCTGAACTGAAGGCGCTGACCCACTCGGTGCTGAAAAAGATCAAGGAGAAACACTTAGAGGCGCTGCTGCAGGCGGTGGAGTCCAAGGGGGGAGCCCGGAGCCCCTGCTTGCTCCTGCCCAGCAAGGTGGACGCCAAAGTGGGTCAGCAGTCTTACTCCCTCCCTATGCTGCTCTACAAAGTGTTCAGGTGGCCGGACCTCAGGCATTCCTCGGAGCTCAAGAGGCTGTCTTGCTGTGAATCCTACGGGAAAACAAACCCAGACCCAGTTTGCTGCAACCCGCACCACATGAGCAGACTTTGTGAACTCGGTGAGCTGTTTTTTCCCCCTTTTCTTTCTTTTTTATTATTATTATTATTTGAACAAATCCTGGAAAAAAAATGGGTTTAATTCTGTTCAGATTGGACTTAATTTAACCTTAAATGGATTTCAGAGTTCCACTCCCTTAAGGACTAATTAGCCTAATTCAGATGACATCACCTCTCTGGCACAGTGGGCTTAAGTTTCCATAAGGTCAAACTTGACTCGAGTGTTTCTTTTCATTCTGCTGGAGGAGAGAATGTGTGTGTGTGTGTGTGTGTGTG